GATAGCTTTTTCAAAGCAGAAGGGCGGGCTAAAAATGCTTTTGTCTTTACAGGAAGTGGGAGGAATAAGTTCTGGACTTCCACCCAGTGTTTCAGTTCAACGAGTTATTGTGAGATACGCAGTTTGCAAGACAATGCCAGAGAAGGATTTCAAATTCTTCACTGGATTATCACAATGCAATTTTGATGTTCTTTATGAATTAATTGGAGGAGATTACGTAGTGGACAGACTAAAATATGAATATAATGACAAGACCCCTGAAGAAATGATGCCCTTCAAGAAGTTGACAGCAAGAGACAGACTCTTCATGATGCTTGTGAGAATGAGGAGAGGTGTGCCTCTAAGAGACCTGGGGTATCTTTTTGGTATAAGTGAGCCTCAATGCTGTACCATCTGTAAAACAATGATTAGGACAACTTATGAATGTTTAAGTTCTTTCAAGAAAGCCATGTTTGTAAGTGCAGAGAAGCAAAAGAAGGGCATGACTGCTCCTTTTAGACCCTTCAAAAATCTGAGGGTCATAATTGATGCTGCAGAGTTCAAAATTGAAAGACCATCAGATTTTCAGCAACAAGGCAACACGTACTCAGAGTACAAACACTACAATACTGAAAAGTACTTGATTGGTACTTCAACCAAAGGTTCAATAATTTTTTGCAGTGATGGGTTTGAAGGTCATATAAGTGATAATGAATTAGTGAAGAAAAGTGGCTTCCTAGACTATCTCACAGAAGGTGATGCTGTTATGGTTGACAGGGGATTTCATCTGGCAGCAGAGTTTGCTGAGAAAGGAGTTCGACTCATCAGACCACCAGATTTTAAGAAGAAACGGAAGTGCTTCACAGCAGGAGAAGAAATTTTTACAAGGCAGACTGCTTCTGCTAGGATTTATGTGGGACATGCCATCAAAAATATAAAAGATTGGAGACTTATCCGCTATGTTGTACCAATGTCTATGCATGATGTTTTACCTCAGCTAGTGTTTACTGCAGCCTTCCTTACTAATTTTGATGTTCCCTTCATCAAAGTAAAGAAAACTTCATCCCGTAGGTAAAATGTGTTTGTATTATAAAAGTGCCATGATAAATTTAAGAATTGTTGAATGTTTAAAGAAAATACCTTTATTATTCTGATGACTTTATTATTGAGCTGTAAATTGGACATCACATTGCAACTACAAAATAAAGCAATCTACAATTTGAAACACATATTAATATTCCTGAAAAGTAAGCATAATTATAAAGCACCCACCATTCACCATTACTGCAAAAATAAAATAACATGCATCTATTCATAAAATACCCAGGGTTAGTCCACACACATACTCACTTCAACTGCAGGGCTACCTGCAGTACAGAAAACTACTCTACAAAGAGAGGAGAGAATATTAAATGAGTGTACCTTTCCAACTACACACATACACACTTCTAACTTACTTGTCTTTATCGCTGAGAGGAGGGAAAAACAATTTGTCAATAGTATCAATGTGATTTTGAGGAAAGATGACGAAATTCCAATCCAGATGAACGCTGAACACAAGACAAAATGATAAACCAAAAACCATAAAATGTAAAAACAATGAGTGAGCAGGAGGAAATCTAATCTAGGATGACAATCAAGACAGAGGACAAGTTCCACCTGTATGAAGATGATGAAGTGTATAGGTAGACCATCCCCAGTTATGTTTTATGCAAGGATAAACCACTGTCCCAGTTATTAGGAGTAATGATTGTGAAAATAAAGATAATAGGTCAGTTTTGATAATTTTATGAAATCAAGTTCAAATCTATTGGTAATCTTTTTTAAATACTGTCAAGTGAACTACTAAGTGAAATGATTTCTAACCAACTGTGGGCTGTGAGAAGTGGGATAGTATCAATTGTAGTTCAGAATATATTGTTACTGATTAATAGGGATTAGATATGTGATATGTGAAACTAACTTACTAGATAGATATGTTCATCACCCAAAAATTACTATCCAAAACAGGGCTTTTCCCTCTGAACCATATCATATTATCAAAAAATAAATTTATAAATAGACAGAAAGAGAGATAAAAATTCAAAGGGGCACTTTCAGCAACCCCTTCTGTTGAATTATACCTGACTGGAAATATAGTATTAAGATAGGACTCCTGAATATTTTTAAATGAAAATTTGTTGCAGTAGATAATTGTGTGGCTTTGATATAACTATGGGATTCCAATAACAACAGCCACAACGCATTAGTAACACT